TAAGCGATCACGTGCGGTCACGTGAACCAGATAGCGGTTTACGAATCATTGAACATGGAGCCATTGAGCGAGAAACTGATGTATAAATCTACAGTATTACTCGAACTTACATGTGTCGATTGCCAACGACGCGTCAGACCATCATTCGTAAAAAAGAAACTAAAAGTACCCGTCACGACTGAATTTCTTAATGAAAATTCTAACGGTAGCAGAAAAATATGTAATTCAATTTGAGTTCGTTCAACTCGTTTTAGAAAAGAAGAAAATCAGTAACGTTACATATTCCTGTCACGTTCTCTATCCTAATTGTATTATTTAACTACAGATATATCTTCAAAATTAGCAAGACAATTTAACAAAAATATATTACAATAACAATATATTTAAATTAACAAGATGATTAACTTGCGATTTGAATTAGTTCTGCTTGAATATCCGTTGCTCGTAATTTAACAATTACGAGCAATTCATTTATTCCCTTTCTGATAACATTCTTTTTTATTATATTATGTATTATCGCAAATGTAATAAAATTATTATATGTACTTTTAAATTATTCAGTTTAAAAATTCTTATTTGATATTAATCTCAGCAGTGACCACAGTAAAATTGGAAGCATAAATGTATATATCACGCGCTGGAAAGTATAATTTTCGCGATGATATCATTCTATTTCGAGAGCGTACCTCTTGCGTGTGAATGAAGTTAGGAGTAACGAACAGAAGTTCGTAAACAAGGTTTTGAAACGTCACGTATTTGTACTTCTTATTTCTTATCATCTCAAATTCTTACATACTTTATTACTATGTGTTTATTATCTATTATTATATAATTTCCTATTTTTTTTATTTAATAAATATATTTTTTATTTATTAATTTATATACCTGCTCTCCACCACGGTGCAGTCTCCTGCGGCAAACTTTTACAGAATCGGAGCGTATTTCATATCGTGCTGGTTGAAATGACAGTTTTTGAACAATGTTACGCTTTTATATGGGGCAAAACGTGACATTTACGATGACCATTCTATTTTCATAGAAATCAGGTCGCGCAATCCTTCATCATAAGTCGGAAAGTTTTAATTACGGTACAGATAATGATGACAAACGATGCGTGATACGTATGCGATATCGGTGTCACCGCAAGGAGAGAATACTATATTCACAGTCGGCCATTTGCGTGTCTGCTCAGGACACAAGACGCATTGATGGTTGATTGATACCCTACCTGGTTCAATATTTATCGAATTGATGCTCCCTGATTGACGTTGGGTTTTTGAAAATTTATAATGTGAAGCGAATAAAATTCTCTATTTTTACACGACGCGTGTGGACAACAATGGACGTGAAATAATAATGTCAGCGTGTGATGAAATTAGTTCCAATGGTGATGAATTAAAAATACTTTGGATAATTCATTTTATCTAAATAAAATTTCCGTGGAATTAGATTGAAAAATATATAAAGTTATAAGATCAACTATATAAAATTAATGCTAATAAGAATTATTTTAAGATAAAAGTTACTCGGGATACTCATATCTAAGATTTATAAGAAAATAATAATTTATGAACACTTATTTTGACTTATTAATTTATACTTATTAATTTATATGTTTATCAATTATAAATTATACTAGATAAATTATTTTTTATTATGTAAAGTTCATATTGCAAATCTTACCTGAAAGATGGAATAAAAAAAAATAAGTTGGCGAGACAAATACAAAAAAAAAACTACATAATCGGGATTTAAGGTCCAACGAGAACTGTAGAAACACGAGCATACGTGTAAATGGGGAGAGAGAAAGGGGGAGGGAGGGGGGCAGTTTCTTTCCACGTTTTGTTCGTGATCGCTTGTACTCGCGGGCAGTGATTAGGAGCGATGCGTGAAACGTTCGTAACGTTAATGAAAGAAGAGATCGCCGGTACGTGACGTGCCATTTCCACTCGCGGTCAGATCAAGCGGAGAATTTTATCCTCTGTAGCGATTGTTCTCGCCCGATCCGACGTGACGGCGTTTATTGGATCGATACACGGTCTCTCTCTTCTCCTCGCCGTTAATAAAAAGCACTGGCCGATATTATCCACTGGATGGCGGCGGCCTGCGCGGACTGCTGGCACTTCTTGATGGTATATAAAAAAAAAAAAAAGGCATCCGTGGCATCCAGCAACACGGTTACGTGACGTGAGTAATTACCAGCAGCCGCGTGAGCACATAGGCAACACTAGAGATGCGATGGTGCAGTGTATCTACATATTGATACGAAAAACGTTTCAAAGGCGATCGTATAAAGCATCCCTTCCCTCTCATCCGTTACGCAGAAATGCATCGGATAAAATTCTATCCTCAAGTTTTAATAAAAGATACATTCTTCTTTTCCTTTAATAGAGTACGATTCTGATCTGAAACAAGCTTCTTAGAGTTAGATTGACATAAAATAAATTAAATTTAATAATTAAAGTTCTTTTAAAAAAATAAATTTCTAAGAATGTGAATTATATATATTTTCGTATAATTACATATAATCGTAATTTAATTTATTCAAACATCTGTATAGGCAAATATGATTTTGCAATTGCGCAATAAAAGGAAAGGATTCTATATTCTTGCGTAACATACTAAATATGCTTGTTATAAGAAAATATTTACAATTTGATTCAATTGCAATTTGCACATGGCAAATATTCCGAATGAAATACTGACGGCATATCTCTGATTCACTCATCAGTTAATTTTAGATCACTAACTGAACAAAATAATGAAGATATTATAACGTTCATGATCTCAACAAGATAAAATTTCTCATCTGTCAAATGTTGAACCTGTAAACGGTAAATTCGTCTTTCTCGAAATTTTACGTATGTTCTAGAAAACTATAGATAACAGACGCTCAAGCGTATTTTTTTATACTTGTCGAACAACATGTATTAAATTAATAAAGATTCACATATTTTTTTTCCCAGACAAGATCATTATTCAACAAATCTTTCATTCAGCTTTTTTAATCATTTTTAATGAAAATATATGTTCAATATAAATCTTTATTAATATAGCTTATTTTTTGCAGTATTTATTAGAATTTCTTATAAAATAATATATGTTATTGAAAAATTGCGAACTGTAATAATTTAGGAATTAATAGGATTAAACGTTTTATATTTCTTTCCGAATAAATTGGATTCATTTATGTATTCTTTTAATGAGAATTAGTATATAATTAAAATTCCATTGAATCGACTAACGAATATGTTTTCAATAGATTGCATATTGACATTTATTCTACAGCATATATTGACTTATTACTATTTTATAAATCTTTTGTCTTAAATATCGTTAATCATCAAAAATTTAGATCACAATTAATTGATTTACATACAGAAAAAAATCTTAAATTAAAAATTAAAGAGATTAGCAATCTCTTCTTGTCGTACCTCAAGCTAGTACTTCCCTAGAATGTTTAATGTCATGAATACAAATTCCAAATTTGTTATTAAGGCTGAATTTAAAAAGAAGAACAACTCTCGTAAAATGCTAACGACTAGACTGGAAGGGATTTCCGGTAAGTGTCATTGTCTGCATAGAAAGGTATTTATACATGTCTTTCGATGATAAGATAAGCTGTTCGTCAATTTCGTATGATCGATTTGTTCACTTTAGCCGGGTCTAGAACCACTAGTTCTGCATCCGTAAAAGCCATAGAGCTACTACCGTAGCTACTCACTTAGCTAATTCTTACGATCTCACGTACCATAAGCTGACGCGGCTGAAAATGATGAGTCTGAGATTCGAGATTACACACGTACCGAGGAACACGTTTCGAGTTATGGCGTAGAATATGAAACGTTCCTTCGCGTTGAATTTATGAAAAGGAATTAATTTGTGCGATACGGCCGACAGAGTTGCGAGAATATGCTGAAAAGCTGTGACGACATTATTTGCTAACGAAAGAAATAAACAAAAATCAAATCGCAAAAGTATGCTGAATTCGTAATAATTGCCCTAGAAATTTTTAATAAATAATTATGTTGCGAGTACATGCAATGTATTAAATTAAAAATATCGTAATATACAAAATATATATCTATTTCAAAAAATTGCAACAAAATAATTAATCATGATATCTATTTCGTTTACGTTTCAAGATACAATGTCACGGTAGACCGTGCCTGATAAAATCTTTGAAATATTCCACTATTCCGTAGAAATCATACACGATGCCTCTTACGCGTTGTTTTCCAGGTAATGTTATTTGATTCAGATTAAACACTCGCACATGCGACAGAAAAATCTGAGTACTCAATTAATCATGCATGCAATGCTTATCATGGTATTTACGTTATCAGACCCCCAATGATCATTCAATATACTAACATTGAGAAAAGCTGGAAATGTATGAAGATATACGTAAACCAGGAAGATAATTATATCAGGTAAATATCACTTGAAACAGAAAAAAAAGAGATAGATGATATTTACGTTATAAATATCATTGTTATGATAATATTATAAAGAAAATAATATTATATCTCATAAAGCTGTGTGTGTGTGTGTGTGTGTGTGTGTGTGTGTGTGTGTGTCACACACACGCGCGCGCGCGCGCGTCAGTCATAAAATTATTTTGTATACGCTGCAATTTATTTAATATAATAATGAATAATCGTATTCATCATAATATCAAATATATTAACTAATGATATTAATTATTTATAAAATATTTTCTACATATATTAAATGAAAAAAGTAAATAAAAAATTGTAAAATTTCTCAAAATTACATTTAAACAATTAATCTTTCTCCGATTGTCTAATGGAATATAAATGGAAGATAAATGCATGTCATACTATAATATGATGAGTTTCTAGAATCTACAGGAAAGTAACGGAAGATGAAACAAATAACCTTACATAAGCTGTTGTCAGTGTTGGGAGATAGAAATCTGCTTAATATGGTGCGATTCTTTGTGGAATCAAGCATGAGAATTGATAACGTGAAGATATAAATGCGTTCGCTGAACACCGATTGAACAGAACGATTTCAGTTAACAAACGGCTCCATAAGTATATTCACAAAATGAAGATTTTACTTTTTGTATTTCTGTGCTTTTCCTTAGCCATCGGTAGACATATCGATTATCAAAAAGTCTTTGTCATAGGTGAACATGAAGAAGGCGATTACCTTATCACTAATAGAACGATTTTTAAGGTAAATAACAATTTCAGTATTGCAGTTATTTTAGTAAAAGTGTTGAATGGAAAATACTTCATTCTATATGTCGTAATTTAGATTTTATTAACTATCGTAAGTTACTATATCACGTCCTTAATTTATATAAATATTCTATAATCAACTTTATAGAATACAAAAATAATGCATTCAATATGTTAAATCTTATCTGCTTATTTGTACTGTATTTGTACTTAAAATTAATGTCATATATCATTATCATAAATTTACTTACTAACACTTATAAAACTAAAAATAAAATTTAAATTTCTATCATTTTCGCTGAATTATATATTCTTGAATTACATACATTAATGATTTCTTCAGAGATATTCATATATTATATATTTATACACACACGTGCGCGCACAGTATCTGCAATACTGTGTGTCTGTGTGTGTGTGTGTGTGTGTGTGTGTGTGTGTGTATGTGTATTTTTAAATAATAAAATTGTTAATATTTAATTTATATTATGATTAATATTACTTTCATTCTATTTATATTCTAGCCTCCCATCCCACGGGTACCTATGAAAGCTACAATTGGAGTGCACACACATTCAGAAGATGAACTTCTCACATATATTAAAATCATAAATATAGCAGACAAAAGGACGCTATTTATACCAAAAAGAATGACTCGAACAAATACAGCGATATTTGTTATGGGAAAACCCGGAGAAGGATTACTTACACGCGTGGAAGGTTATGCAAAAAGTATTTCAGCACCAAGCACAACTACAAATAAATCTGATAATGAAGACAAGAGCACATCAAGTAGTAGCGAAGAAAGTAAGAATACATCTGAAAGCAATGAAAGAAGCAATGAAAACATCAGCACATCTGATACTGGCGACGAAAATAATATCCCCGATAACGGAAAAGGTGATGGAAACAACAGTTTACCCGATGCTGGAGATGAAAATAGTGCATCCGATGGTAGAGACGCCAACAACAGTGCGAGCGATGGTGGAGATGGCAACAACAGTGCATCCAATGGAGGAGATGGAAACAACAGTGCAGCCAATGGCGGAGATGGCAACAACAGTGCAGCCAATAGTGGAGATGGCAACAATGGTGCAGCCGATGGCGAAGATGGAAACGACAGTGCAGCCAATGGCGAAGATGGCAACAACAGTGCAGCTGATGGCGGAGACGGAAACAACAGTGCAACCAATGGTGGAGATGGAAACAACGGTTCAGTCGATGGCGGAGAAGGAAACAACAGTATAGCTGATGGCAGAGATGGAAACAACAGTGCAGCCGATGATGGAGAAGAAAACAATGTACCTGATGATGGGGAAGGAAACAACATACCGGATATGAATAACAGAAACAACAGTGCACCCGATGTTAGAGACGGCAACAATAATGCACCTGATGCCGGGGATGGAAGCAACAGTGCTCCCGACGGAGAAGAAAATAACAATGTAGCTAACACAGGCGATGATAACAGCGGTGTACCCAATGATGGGAAAGGAAACAACAACGCACCAAATGCAGGTGAAGAAAACAATAGCGAACCCAAAAATGATGGAAATAATAATGAACCTAACGTTGGAGAAGGAAACAACAGTGTATCCTAGGATGAAGAAGGAAACAACAGTGTACCCGAGAATGGCGATGGAAACAACGATGCACCCATTGATGGCGACGAAAACAATAGCATGCCCGTTAGTGGGAATGAAAACAGTACGCTTGATAATGACAACGGAGGGGACAACTCACCTAATAATGGCGATAAAAACAATAGCACATCTGATAATGGCAATGGCGACAACGACAACAATAACAATTCTGGTGATAACGATGTAGAATCTTAAATGAATTAACAATTAGAAATTAGAAGAATTAACAATTTGGACTGAAAAAATTATGTTATAGACATTTAATTTGAGTTCTGAATTTGTAATAATAATCATGTGTATTATTACATGTATCTAAAATATAATATAAAATCAAGATTGCATTATACATTAGACAATATGTTATTTGATTAATGTGTATGTGTCTAAATGTAATTATAAATAAGGATATGTAAATAGTAATTTTTTTATATTAATCTTGTACTATTTAAATATTAATATATAATAATTTTGAGAATGTTCCATTTTACGAGATATGGTAAATGTTAAATATTTTTAATGTTAATATTTCATAATATATTTGCATATATATGCTAGCTTGTCAAATCCATACGCTCTACTGATACATAAATTTCTTCTATATCAGAATATCATAGATCCTTAATATCTTAAAAATAGACACAATTAGATACATATTTTCCTGTAAGCATGCATCGTTAATTTCTGTTGCTTTCCTCGCTATTATACAATACATTTCCAGAAGTACAAAGTTTGTGACGACTAACGGAATGAGATTATCATCGCGGCCTATGTATTTTGAGAATCATCGACTCCGTGACATGAAATATAATTTAGCGAGCTTGAGAATTCTAAGCACAGACCTTTCGTGGATAACGCGTTTCCACGTGATGCTCCCTCAGCGACGGTTTAGGGGTGCATCGCACGTAAGCCACCGTTGTTACTTGATTCGCTTCATCTTCCACGGTCGGCTTAGAGAAAGATAGAGACTTTTATCTTACCTCCCCTTTTTTTCTTATCCTACCTTCATGGTTCGAGCTCGTGGGGCTCCGCTTGTGAAAATTGTACTCCAATTTAGTAAGATCCGATTTGTATGGATGGTTGCATCTAGGATATCAGACCGGGGTATCGAGTGCAGAACACCGCGGAATTTTGATAGCGTCGATTACGATAGGTAGTATATATATATATATCCATCGTGTCCATACATATTTGACGCGTATTCAAAAGATTAATACATCACCATTTGCCACAAATCTCAGCTCTTTAAACATGTAAATAAAGATGCATCGTTCAAGCATATTTTATGCAGCAAAAACTTCATGTCTTTGCGTATCATAAAGATTATTATATATATGTGATACATAAAACAAAATTCGGTTAATTTTCAGTATGATTTAAAAGCTAGTAACTTATGCATTCGATTTAACATAAGATAGAATCAGAATACTTTATCAAAATTACCTGATATTAAATCGCTCCCTTTGGATAAACGCTTGTGGATCTTGTGGATGAACCAACATTAAAAAAATTTATGCAAAGATGTAAAATTATTTCTTGTAGCTAATATTATACACTATTATAAATAAAATCTATAACTATTATCTAATACTACATATTTTTTATATATAATAGTTCAATTAAATATATATATATATATATATATATATACATTGAAAACTTTATAATCAGAATAACATAACAATTACTAAAATATAATAAGACAATTCAGATAAATACCAAACAATAATGTTAAAAGATAGTGTAACAAATATTTCAAAAGTGCGCTATAATAACCGTGAGTAGCAAAAAACTAAAAATGGCGGTTTATGGTTTTTTGTAATCAGCAAGCATGTTGCAGAAATTGCGGCTATTTAATCATGTGTCACAATGTAACGAGTGAGGGAGTGTATCTGAGATAGCTCGGAGAGTTTATATAATTAAGCCCGCAGACCGCGCACATTACTCCAAATATGCGCCTGATAATCGTCTCAAACTCCAACTGTAACTCGAAGCAGATGTGCGTACACACGCACACGCATATGCGCGTGCATGCGTGACATCTCAACGTTAACATACATATATGTCGTGGCATTAGTACTGCACAAAGATAAGATACTGCAGATCTCCAGGCTTAATGCTACACTAATTAAACGAACTCGTAATCGCAACAAGCTTATACGATAATAAGCTTTAATTCGGACCCGATGACTTTCGATGCGCATCAAGCATTTTCGATTTTCACTAATTAAACGGCGTTACTTCTCGGTAAAACTTTACATTTTTCTTTATTTCTAAGAGAACGGAATTTCTAAAGAAAAAGGAAAGCGAGAAATAATAGCAAACGAGACTCGTGAGACCATCGGATTTCTTTATCATTATAAATAAATTCCGCTGGGGAATATCAAGTTGTACCTTCATGCAATAAATTTTATGGATATAAATTTGATAATATAATTACACTCGCGGCATTTATATCTCATTATACGTGTAATTATTCTTTCTCGTTAAGTCTATTCGTGTAACGCATTCGCCGTACACCATTACAAACGATCTTTCATCGCATTGTTATTCCTTTGGCATACTACTTCTACCGATCCCATGCAGCAGACATTATTTCCATGAATGATATACTTGAGATGTACCGTATCAAAACAAAAGAGCATTGAGATTGGAAGTTTGATTCATCTTTTTCGCACCCGGCGCAACGCAGTCTGTAATTCTTCTATACGGCGGAAGCGCACTACTTATCTGATATAATGATATCCAAGCCTGGACGCGAGTACCTGTAGATGCAAAAGTTATACAAAGAAACGAAACTACCTCAGTATCAATCTTTTCACATCTTTATCTTATCCTACAGTAATGATGTGATATCTCGATATTTCATCAGAGAACGAATTAATTGACTAGGCCCCATTGACTTGTTTTTTTTTCCTTTAGATACGTACAATATAGATTTTTAAAACAGATCAAGTAAACATTTGCAATCAATAAAAAAATAATAAAAAGCGCACAAAATTAAAATCACAAAGAAAAAATAAATGTTATTGTAATTTATAATAATTAACTTTTTTTTTTTTACTATGTCGATATTACGAATTAAGTATTTGGACATTTTTATTTAAAAATAAACATTATTTTGAATTAAAAATTTAATGCATAATTAATTATAAATTAATATTCATTCGAAATTAATATTTCACTCTATTTTACAAATCATTGTTTAAAAAATTTATAATTAAACTTATAATTAATATTCATAATCGATTTTTATTCATTGTGGGAAACAATTGATTTAAGTCGAGTAAAATTATAATTTACGAATAAGGTTCTTATTTCTATACCTAATTAATTATTAATTACAATAGTACTTTATATCTTGCAATTTACTGATGTTACAGATAAATAAATACACTTGACAAGATACTATATGAAGATACTGAGGTAATAAGTACTGAAGTAACTGAGATAAAGGAAGTCTCTCGCAACATTATTCAAATCATATTACTCAATTAATAATTAATTATTACTCATTAAATCTGCTCAGTTGACTAGATAATCAGTAATTGGAGGCCATAAATTTCTGAGAAATACATATTACAGAATTATAAATTCACGGATTTGAAATTGTAACTGAACATCAAATAAGGATTAATTATAAATATTGTATTTAATTCCATTAATGTGTTAATTATTAATCAAAGATATAGTAAAATATGGAAACAAAAAAGAAGCAAATGTATGGTTAGAAAATATATCTTTCCGGAACGTCGAGCAAACGGTAAAATATTTGCATCGATTATACGCGCGCCAATTTTCCTTTATGAGCAAATCTCTGATCTTCAAACGTGTATGCTAGGGAATACCGTTTATATTAAATTCGTAAATTCCGCAAGCCCTCTTCGTGAAAAATCTCGTGAAAACTTTAGAGACGACTTTTTAATCTTGCCTCTGCTGACAACCGGATTATTACATTTTCAATTAAATTGCGCCGAGTGTCATTTGCATGCTGCCTAATGCACCCAATGTAATATTGCCATACGCATGAAAACACGTTTTGCGTGGCGCGTGTCTTTTATCTACTTATTTTACGCATAATACGAACGACAAATTTACGAAGAGCAGCGAGACGTACAGACAGAAAACATTTTGATATTCTCTGATAATGCGAAGGATTTGTTATTACGTTTACAAATTAAGTCTGATCCTACCAGGCGTGTTTGCGAAACGATTCAACGAGAGACAATTATATCGGCGCGAACTGGTTGTTTTGTTGGACGAAAATAGTTGTCTATCAACAATTATTCGGGCGCAAAGCGTCGCGTGACTTTTTGCTCGATCGGAAAATATTAATGAAACCAAACCCACGTCGTTGAACCTTTGCGTTCTTGTACAATACGTTCCCATCTCGACGTACGGTTCAATGCGCGAACCGTCGAATCGAAAGATTTTAATTATTACTGTCGGCTCTCCCCCACCGTTCGTACGCTTGAAGCCAGATATAATGACAAAATTAAATAAAACGTCATTCGTGCGCCATGCGATTAATTACTGACCGGCGGAAGAGAACACCGGAAAAAAATGTTGGAGAGAAAGAGCGCCCCGGTTAATTATCATCGTACAAACAGAGCGTACGATCTTTTTATACTTATGAAGAGAACGGTCTCGTTAACCTCCATTTAAATATGAATTCGTTATATGCAAGATCGCTACGCCAACGTGATCATTTATTGGACGAATCATATTGCCGCATCCGTGTTTCCATTAAGCCAAACGTACTTGCGGTTAATAACGTATCTGTCTGCGTTGCGATCATCCAATCATCATAAATAATACAAAATTTTTATGGAATCGCTTCCGATCTGTAAAAACAAATTACACTTGCAAATTGCTTACGTAACACATATTCCTCTTTATTTAAATCGCCTTTCAAAACAAAACTGAGACAGAAGATTCGAGCATATATATTAAGCATATATTAAGCGAATCTACTGTAAACCATCCAATGGTAGTATCTTGAATCTGAATGTAACGAGAAATTTATTTTTATTTCTCGTCGAATGTATATCATTTTAATTACGATCAGTCCAACTGTTCATTAAAAGAACAGAGTATGATTAGAGCGTGCAACCGGGGCACACGGGTGATTAAATCGTTTTATCAAGACCAGGTTGTAACGTGTGGTGTAAAGTTTTCTAGTTAAATAAATGCATCGCCAGATATGTAATAACATTCGATGCATTCCTCCACTTCCTCGTTCCATTTGTCACTGAATCTCTGCTTTATCGAATCGGTATTGGCTGCAACGGCAACGTCAACCGACGGCGGCATCAGAACCATGTGAATTGGCGCGCGCGTGAATACGCAATTCGCCGCCGTCAGGTGCACATCCAGCACTTTATTACACTAATTGCGCACACAGCGGGCCCATTTACGAAATTCCGAGGTAAGGGCTTTCGCCCCCGTAGTACCGACCCCTGCGCGGGCGTTGATCGGCGCTCGCGTTATGCGCGCGTGCTCGTACGTACCCGGGCCCGGGTTACTTGTATATACGGCGTGTAATTTCACGCCCGCGAACACGCACGCGTTTTGCATACTGCCTGTCACACGGCGCGCACGGCGTCCAGTGAAATACGGCCGAGATTGCTGTAGTTATGTCACACGCATGTGCGGCGCGCCGAGGGGCGAATTGTATCAACTTCTATGTTTACGCGGTACGCCCGCAATACGTCATCGGG